CACTGGGACTCGAACCACAACACTGTAGCGATACGCAGAAAGCGCCTGCTCGCCAGTGTAACTAATGAGCGCTATTACTGAGGCCCAGCGTCATCCACTGCGCAGCTTGATGTCGGTATTAAAGCGAAACATTTAGGATGCGTTCTGCGGAGACGAACGGCTTATTTTATGAGTTAACACGGTCTGGAGGCCTGCGAACTACCTTTTCCTATCCGTCATTTCAGTTTCCTCAGCTGGTCTCCCTTAAAGGGTTATGCTAACGTCTTGCAGTGGACCTCGGTGCCGCGGCAGGGCCGCTAGGGGGAGGGGAGCACGTGTTGGCCGGTGCCTTGGTCCGGCCGATTGGCCGAGGGGGAGGGGGGGGGGGGGGGTACTGCCTTCGACATGCTCTGTACGTCCGCACTCTGATGGCCCATCGGCGTCCGAAGTTTGGCCGTTCGCCACCGCGGTCGCCCGTAAAAGGTGAGCTTCGCGCGCCCGGCTGGCGCGACCAGCCGTCGACCCCTCCCCCCTCCCCTCCCCCGTCGCACCCCGGTCTCTTGGACTCTTGGGGTGGTCAGAAAGTGGCGGGCCGAGCCTCGCAGCAGCTGGACATTAGCCCTATGACGCATTTGGACATTCTTGGACAGTTTGGCACTTGGACAGCTTGGGCTCGTGCATATTGATTTATCCAGCCGTCGGCACAGCTAGTGCGACGTTTTCTAGGGACGAAGCCCGGCATGCGCAGGACAGGTGAAGCACGAACACACATATATGCGCATTTAGACTTGAGCAGCTGCGGTCTGTCAGAGGCCGAGGTGGTGAGAGCCCCTGGCAGCGCGTGTGACGAGCGCGGCGCGCTGAGTCAGGAGAGCCGACGGGAGCCTCCTCTGCCCGGGCGGCCGCGCCAGGCCGCGGGTCTCGCACTACAAGGCTGCGTCGGGAGAGCCGACGGGAGCCTCCTCTGCCCGGGCGGCCGCGCCAGGCCGCGGGTCTCGCACTACAAGGCCTTTCACCGAACAGCCGCCAGGCAACAAAGGCACCGCACGCAATCTGAGCCGGCAATCTTGGCGGACACAAATCAAAGTTGGCCTTGGGGTTGGTCCCCAGGGAGTCTACAGCACGGCTATAACACATGGACTTCAGATTCAAAGGCTTGAACCTTTCGAGAGCAGGAAATTGCGTTTCCTGTGCGCTTTGTGCCGAAGTGATCGTGCGTGCAGCTCTGGAACGGTTGCTTGAGGATGGTCAGCCGGCTGGGGCTTGAGCAGAGGCGCTCGGTTGGTCATGGGCATTTGAACGTGTCACGTTTTGATAATGCATAGTAGTCAGTTGCCACCCACTCCGGGCGCCCGCCCAACCATACCTGCCGAATGTGTAGGGCACTCGGGATTCTGGGCCCAGGCGCCTGGCCATTAGTAGACGAGGCTTGCGACTGATCGTCCTCTGTGAGCACGGTCTCTGCGAGCATGCTCAGGAAAGTGATTTATATCTCTTAAAAACATTAAAAGGGAATATTTTAGCGGTTCACGAAGTTTCGGATTTCGACGACGAATTTGGCTTACACTGAGCGGTCCTTCACGTACGGATCTCAGCTATGTTTCTTAGACGCTCCAGCTCCTGAGGTGGTGCTTCATTGTCTGTGGATAACTTTGGTTTCATTATATATGCATATGATACCGAATACGTCACCAGCAATGATGACACACGCTGAGGACATTATGTAACTCAGATCAGTTTGCTGGGGAGCATTTGAAGAAGACATAAGTAAAACGCCTGTGTTGCCCTGTTCATGGTGTGTTTAACTGATGTGAGCAAGGATGATCTTGGTCTTGTTTTTCGGCACAATGAGTAAGGAGTTCTTACGCAAAAATAAGCGGCCTTCACCATACCAGGAGGTACCGTTTAAACGATGGCATTGAGCAAACATTGGTGATATGGAAAACAGAACTCGACTCTTCGAGCTGTGTACGAGTCCTCATGCGCTATGATCGAAGCTGTGCTCCTGTGACTATGACTATGGTGACTATGGGTGACTATGACCACGTGTAACTCATGGTCACAGATTCATGACCATGAACGCAGTCCCGAAGCGTCAAGTTTTCTCTGCATCATCAATGCTTGTTTGATAACGATATGCTTGATTAGGAATCCCACCTTAACGGCTGTTTATCGATTAAGGTTGGTGTTATATCTCCACATTCAATGTGTAATGTACCCTTTTGACGACGTTATGCAATAGAGCTGTTTTCTTTGTTACAAAAACGGCGCTTTTCCCCGCGTTTCCTTCAAAGATAGGTAGCAAGAAAGGTTACCGGTGTTCTCTGTTTAGTTATAGTTTGTACAACATTGGTTAGCAGCCAAGGTGAGAGAATTCATGGAAATGGATAGGGCTTATCAATATAGTTGGCAAGTTTATTATATATCACACCATACAAACAAATCGTAAATAGAACGTTTCGGGCTTGAGCTGATGCGAAACAGCAAAACACGGTCTTTTCCATTTATTCGCTCAGTTAGCGTTTTCATAACGGTTTTGTCCTAAGACCCTAGTAATGCCATATTTAACAGTGCTTTTATAAGTGTGCAATATTTGGTGTACCATTACACTTGCAAAACTTGCACAGCGTCACGAATTCCCGCGAATGCAACCATAAAATGTTGTTTAAATGGTGACATTTGACCTTTAAAACTCATCCTTGCCTTGTCTTTGGCCCGGGTACCAACTGTTCTCCTCTCCGAGTATCCTGCCGTGTACGCAATCCCTGCCTTGTCTTTGACCCGGGTACCAACTGTTCTCCTCTCCGAGTATCCTGCCGTGTACGCAATCCCTGCCTTGTCTCTGACCCGGGTACTGACTGTTCTCCCCGAGTATCTTGCGGAGTATGCAATCGGAAAACTCGGCCTGTAAATGGCGTCCGTATTTCTTGGACATGTATGTAGTTTGGAAAGTACGTACATAATGGCCTCAGTGCCAGCAAAAGTAACGCATCTAAAAACAAACTGAAATGCATCAGCAGGTCATGGGAGACCGTTTATTACTAGGCATTGAACTGCCCATGAATGGTCTGTCAATGTACCATTTTTCTGTTAGAAGTCGTGCTGCGGTTTCTGGCCAAATAGTCGTTCGTTAGACGAAGAATTGTCCCAATAATGATCTCCTGTCGTCAACCACGAAAGCAAGAGTCGCTGGCCATCTAACGGTGACAAAGATCAAATTCCTCAGGTCTATGGTGCCCTGCGATCTCTAATGAATGACACAGCGGACGCACCACTCCTACATAACACAGTTTATCCCAGAATTGGTAGCGGCCCGATGGTCTGACGCGCTCGCCGTGGCGTCCTGTCAGGAACGCGCCCCGACCGATGGCGCGGCGCGGCCGATGGCGCGCCCCGGCCGATGGCGCACCCACGGCCGATGGCGCGGCACGGCCGGCCTCGTCTGTTATTCTATCGACAACAGCTGCCGCCGTCTCCCACGCCCGTGGCGCACCCCGACCGACGCTTCAGTCGTGCATCATTCGGAAACTGGCCTCGCTCAGCCGAATGGTGCTGATGATGAGACGGGCCAGAGTCGGGGAGAAGACGGGTTCGGTCCCGCGGGTCTCCTCGCCTGGACTTCTTACCCCGGGCGGCGCCGTGACGAGCGTACCCCGCCCTCGGATACCGTCCGACAGTTTCTAGGGGACGATCGGGCTCGATTACTTTTTCGACGATTGTCGAATGATTGATGTAACTGGTTGGTTTGTTTGGAATGATTTTTGCTGTAAATTACTTATGCTTTATGATTTGTTCGTCGACATTTTGTGACATTGCGGTTAAAATGCATTAGGCCTCAACACGTAGACTCTTAATGCTGTGCCGCCCAGTCCGCTGTTTTATATCAGCGCAGTCACACAACTCTGGAATTCCAAGAGGATCTCCGTCGCTGTTTCGGGATATTCCACTTTTGTGTGGTGCAGCAATCAAATATAGTTTGTCAGCCGTCCAGCCTAGTTTGAGCGGCTCAAAGTCGGTCTCAGAGTGCTTGGGGGTCGCCTGTCAGCAGTAAAGCCGTTCAGAATTCGACCTGACTAAAGCGTCAGGGTGCCGTCAAAGCACGACTGACCGCTCAAACGAACAGCTACTTCTATCTCAGCGCACAGCTTGAGCGCGCCTAGTTATCATGAAATAAAACACACGCGTAAGCTTTTTGAGTCGGAGCAGGCAAGGGATGAATCCTGTCCTGCGGGGGCGGGGCAGGAAAACAACTATGAGAAAGAAAGGTCTTCAGCTGGTGGTTTTTCAGCACTATGAGTTAAAAGTTCTTGTGTTGAGTTGTCAACTTTCAATATATCAAGAGATACTGGTTTACCAGCGTTGTAATGCTAAATAGCAATTTAAAGGGTATCTCCTGGAATACTGAAGGGCGTAAACTTGACCTGAGAACTTTGAACTCATAATGCAGCAACACAGAATTAGGTTGATGTCATTCTCAGGCTTTACTTATCTTCCCCTGGCATGCAGCAAAATCTAGCGCTTAGTTATTGACTGGTTACTGTTTCCAGTATATCGCTACGTATGACAAAAACCACGCCTCAGGCGTACGTCGTGGCTAGACTCTTTCGAGCACGCGGCGGCTGGGTCATAAAACGGCATTCCGATTTGGACACGCCATTTTCATATACATATGCAGTTCAGTTTAAATACAAACGATGATATTGTCCCTTCAATACGTTGGCAATGCCGAAAAAAACATTTCCGAGTATATTCCAAGTTGTCAAAAGTTTATTCGAGAGCACCTGTCATATTTTTGCACGAACTCTACGGTCGGTCATTTATGAAAACTCTGTAGGTATGTTATGATGCTTTGTATTCAGCCTCATCGCGTTTTTGGGCATTAAGCTTACGTTATAAACTCCTTTGTTTTAATTGTACTCAGATCTCGGCTATCCCTGTTTCGCCATTTCTGCGGCACCACAGGCCTAAGCTGAGGAGCGGTTGCGCTGTTGCGTCCGTGCCGGCGACCTGTACCCTGCAAC